TCCCTCCCATCCCGTTATTCCCATTTTTCCCGCTCCCTCCCATCCATGATTCCCGTTGTTTTTCCCATCCCTGATTCCCGTTTTTCCGGCAGGACGTGGACGATCCCCTGCTGGAGATGAAGACTCCGGTGCTCTTCGTCATCGGGCAGAATTCCCTGCAGTGCAACGCCGAGGCCATGGAGGATTTCCGGGAAAAGATCCGTGCGGAAAACAGCCTGGTGGTGGTGGGGGGAGCCGACGACAACCTCCGGTGAGCCCGGAGTCGCTTTTCCCGGGAATTCTGGGCACCGGGAGTCGCTTTTCCCGGGAATTCTGGGCACCGGGAGTCGCTTTTCCCGGGAATTCTGGGCACCGGGAGTCGCTTTTCCCGGGAATTCTGGGCACCGGGAGTCGCTTTTCCCGGGAATTCTGGGCACCGGGAGTCGCTTTTCCCGGGAATTCTGGGCACCGGGAGTCGCTTTTCCCGGGAATTCTGGGCACCGGGAGTCGCTTTTCCCGGGAATTCTGGGCACCGGGAGTCGCTTTTCCCGGGAATTCTGGGCACCGGGAGTCGCTTTTCCCGGGAATTCTGGGCACCGGGAGTCGCTTTTCCCGGGAATTCTGGGCACCGGGAGTCGCTTTTCCCGGGAATTCTGGGCACCGGGAGTCGCTTTTCCCGGGAATTCTGGGCACCGGGAGTCGCTTTTCCCGGGAATTCTGGGCACCGGGAGTCGCTTTTCCCGGGAATTCTGGGCACCGGGAGTCGCTTTTCCCGGGAATTCTGGGCACCGGGAGTCGCTTTTCCCGGGAATTCTGGGCACCGGGAGTCGCTTTTCCCGGGAATTCTGGGCACCGGGAGTCGCTTTTCCCGGGAATTCTGGGCACCGGGAGTCGCTTTTCCCGGGAATTCTGGGCACCGGGAGTCGCTTTTCCCGGGAATTCTGGGCACCGGGAGTCGCTTTTCCCGGGAATTCTGGGCACCGGGAGTCGCTTTTCCCGGGAATTCTGGGCACCGGGAGTCGCTTTTCCCGGGAATTCTGGGCACCGGGAGTCGCTTTTCCCGGGAATTCTGGGCACCGGGAGTCGCTTTTCCCGGGAATTCTGGGCACCGGGAGTCGCTTTTCCCGGGAATTCTGGGCACCGGGAGTCGCTTTTCCCGGGAATTCTGGGCACCGGGAGTCGCTTTTCCCGGGAATTCTGGGCACCGGGAGTCGCTTTTCCCGGGAATTCTGGGCACCGGGAGTCGCTTTTCCCGGGAATTCTGGGCACCGGGAGTCGCTTTTCCCGGGAATTCTGGGCACCGGGAGTCGCTTTTCCCGGGAATTCTGGGCACCGGGAGTCGCTTTTCCCGGGAATTCTGGGCACCGGGAGTCGCTTTTCCCGGGAATTCTGGGCACCGGGAGTCGCTTTTCCCGGGAATTCTGGGCACCGGGAGTCGCTTTTCCCGGGAATTCTGGGCACCGGGAGTCGCTTTTCCCGGGAATTCTGGGCACCGGGAGTCGCTTTTCCCGGGAATTCTGGGCACCGGGAGTCGCTTTTCCCGGGAATTCTGGGCACCGGGAGTCGCTTTTCCCGGGAATTCTGGGCACCGGGAGTCGCTTTTCCCGGGAATTCTGGGCACCGGGAGTCGCTTTTCCCGGGAATTCTGGGCACCGGGAGTCGCTTTTCCCGGGAATTCTGGGCACCGGGAGTCGCTTTTCCCGGGAATTCTGGGCACCGGGAGTCGCTTTTCCCGGGAATTCTGGGCACCGGGAGTCGCTTTTCCCGGGAATTCTGGGCACCGGGAGTCGCTTTTCCCGGGAATTCTGGGCACCGGGAGTCGCTTTTCCCGGGAATTCTGGGCACCGGGAGTCGCTTTTCCCGGGAATTCTGGGCACCGGGAGTCGCTTTTCCCGGGAATTCTGGGCACCGGGAGTCGCTTTTCCCGGGAATTCTGGGCACCGGGAGTCGCTTTTCCCGGGAATTCTGGGCACCGGGAGTCGCTTTTCCCGGGAATTCTGGGCACCGGGAGTCGCTTTTCCCGGGAATTCTGGGCACCGGGAGTCGCTTTTCCCGGGAATTCTGGGCACCGGGAGTCGCTTTTCCCGGGAATTCTGGGCACCGGGAGTCGCTTTTCCCGGGAATTCTGGGCACCGGGAGTCGCTTTTCCCGGGAATTCTGGGCACCGGGAGTCGCTTTTCCCGGGAATTCTGGGCACCGGGAGTCGCTTTTCCCGGGAATTCTGGGCACCGGGAGTCGCTTTTCCCGGGAATTCTGGGCACCGGGAGTCGCTTTTCCCGGGAATTCTGGGCACCGGGAGTCGCTTTTCCCGGGAATTCTGGGCACCGGGAGTCGCTTTTCCCGGGAATTCTGGGCACCGGGAGTCGCTTTTCCCGGGAATTCTGGGCACCGGGAGTCGCTTTTCCCGGGAATTCTGGGCACCGGGAGTCGCTTTTCCCGGGAATTCTGGGCACCGGGATTGGCTTTTCCCGGGAATTCTGGGCACCGGGATTGGCTTTTCCCGGGAATTCTGGGCACTGGGATTGGCTTTTCCCGGGAATTCTGGGCACTGGGATTGGCTTTTCCCGGGAATTCTGGGCACTGGGATTGGCTTTTCCCGGGAAGAATTTCCAGAGAAAAATGAGAGAAAAATGAGATAAAAGTGAGAGAAAAATGAGAGAAAAATGAGAGAGAAAGTAGAGAAAAATGAGAGGAAAATAAGAGAAAAATGAGAAGAAAATGAGAGAAAAATAAGAGAAAAATGAGAGAAAAATGAGAGAAAAATTGAAGGAAAATGAGAGAAAAATGAGAGAAAAATGAGAGAAAAATGAGAGAAAAATGAGAGAAAAATGAGAGAAAAATGAGAGAAAAATGAGAGAAAAATGAGAGAAAAATGAGAGAAAAATGAGAGAAAAATGAGAGAAAAATGAGAGAAAAATGAGAGAAAAATGAGAGAAAAATGAGAGAAAAATGAGAGAAAAATGAGAGAAAAATGAGAGAAAAATGAGAGAGAAATGAGAGAAAAATGAGAGAAAAATGAGAGAGAAATGAGAAAAATAAGAGAAAAATGAGAGAGAAATTAGAAAAAAAAGAGAGAAAAATGAGAGAAAAATAAGAGAGAAATTAGAAAAAAATGAGAGAAAAATGAGAGAGAAATGAGAGAGAAATGAGAGAAAAATTAGAGAGAAATTAGAAAAAAAAGAGAAAAATGAGAGAGAAATGTGAGAAAAATGAGAGAAAAATAAGAGAGAAATTAGAAAAAAATGAGAGAAAAATAAGAGAAAAATTTAAGGAAAATTAGAGAGAAATGAGAAAAAAATGAGAGAAAAATGAGAGAAAAATTTAAGGAAAATGAGAGAGAAATGAGAGAAAAAGGAGAGAAAAATGAGAGAGAAATTAGAAAAAAAGGAGAGAAAAATGAGAGAAAAATGGGACAAAAATGAGACAAAAATGAGACAAAAATGAGAGAAAAATAAGAAAAAAATGAGAGAAAAATTAAAGAAAAATGACCAAAAAAACCAGAAAAAAAAGAGAAAACTTCCAGGTGTGAAGACAGAGCTCTGAAAAACCAAATTTAATTTACAAAACGCCCTGGGGAGCCCCAAAAACCGTTTTTATTTCCTCGTCAGCTGTGGATTTTCACCTCTTTTGTTGCTATTTTTTTTTTTTGGCCTTAGGATAAGCAAAGCCAAAAAGAAATCCGAAGGTCTGACCCAGAGCATGGTGGACAGGTGCATCCAGGTAAAATCAGGAATTCTTCTGCATCCCAAAAAAAAAAGGGAAGGAATCTTCTGGAATGTGGTGAAATTTGGGAATTCTCTCCTCGGGAGGGGGTTTGGGAGATCCCTGGGTGTCTCTGGGATTTGGGATTTAGGGATAAAAACAGGGTTTTTTTGGGGTTTTTTTATCCTAAAATCTCCTAAATCCATCAATTCCCAACCTTCAAACTCCAATTTCTTTGGGAATATTGCATTTCCAGCCCTAAAATCCTCATTTTTTACCCCAAAAATCTCCTAAATCCACAATTCCCAAACCTAAATCCTCATTTTTGATCCCAAAATCCTCATTTTTTACCCCAAAATCCTCATTTTTGATCCCAAATCCACAATTCCCGCCCTTCAAACCACACATTTTTTTCGGGAATATTTCATTTCCAGCCCTAAAATCCTGATTTTTTACCCCAAAAACCCTCCCCAGGATGAGATTGCCGATTTCCTGACGGGAATCCTGACCCGCTCCGAGAGCCACTCGAGCTCGGAGCCGCGGGATTTGGACGCGGAGAGGAAGAAAAAACCCCGGGATTGCGGCAGGAGGGATTTGTCCTTCGAAATTCCCGACAGGAGCAGCAGGCCGACGTCACCTGCGGCCAAAATCCCGGCTTCTCCCTCGGGATCGGAGGTGAGGGGGTTTTTTTTTGGGGGGAAAACGGGGTTTTTGTGGCGTCAAAATGAGCGAAAATGGGGAAAAGCGAACAAAAACGGGCAAAAACGGGCAAAAAGTGACATAAAATGACCAAAAATGGCCAAAAATGGAGGTTGGGATGGGGGTTTGGAGAAGCTGGATCACCAAAAATGACCAAAAATGGCCAAAAATG